TTAAGTTATATCAAATTTGACTATTGATTGGACAAAGTCAAGTCTAATCTGACTATTGATTGGACAAAGTCATATCACATCTGACTACTGATTTGACAAATTAAGTCATATCAGATTTGACTATTGATTGGACAAAGTCAAGTCTAATCTGACTATTGATTGGACAAATTAAGTCATATCAAATTTGACTATTGATTGGACAAAGTCAAATCAAATAAGACTATTGATTGGACAAAGTCATATCAAATCTGATTATTGATTGGACAAAGTCATATCAAATCTGATTATTGATTGGAAAAAGTCATATCAAATCTGACTATTGATTGGACAAAATCATATCAAATAAGACTATTGATTGGACAAAGTCATATCAAATAAGACTATTGATTGGACAAAGTCATATCAAATAAGACTATTGATTGGACAAAGTCAAATCAAATAAGACTATTGATTGAACAAAGTCATATCAAATCGGACTATTGATTGGACAAAGTCATATCAAATCAGACTATTGATTGGACAAAGTCATATCAAATCAGACTATTGATTGGACAAAGTCATATCAAATCTGATTATTGATTGGACAAAGTCATATCAAATAAGACTATTGATTGGACAAAGTCATATCAAATCAGACTATTGATTGGACAAATTCATATCAAATCTGATTATTGATTGGACAAAATCATATCAAATCAGACTATTGATTGGACAAAGTTATATCAAATCTGATTATTGATTGGACAAAGTCATATCAAATCTGACTATTGATTGGACAAAGTCATATCAAATCAGATTATTGATTGGACAAAGTCATATCAAATAAGACTATTGATTGGACAAAGTCATATCAAATAAGACTATTGATTCGACAAAGTTAAATCAAATCTGATTATTGATTGGACAAAGTCATATCAAATCTGACTATTGATTGGACAAAGTCATATCAAATCAGATTATTGATTGGACAAAGTCATATCAAATAAGACTATTGATTGGACAAAGACATATCAAATCAGACTATTGATTCGACAAAGTCATATAAAATCTGACTATTGATTGGACAAAGTCAAATCAAATAAGACTATTGATTGGACAAAGTCATATCAAATCAGATTATTGATTGGACAAAGTCATATAAAATCTGACTATTGATTGGACAAAGTCAAATCAAATAAGACTATTGATTGGACAAAGTCATATCAAATCTGACTAATGATTGGACAAAGTCATATCAAATAAGACTATTGATTGGACAAAGTCATATCAAATCTGATTATTGATTGGACAAAGTCATATCAAATCAGACTATTGAATGGACAAAGTCATATCAAATCAGACTATTGATTGGACAAAGTCATATCAAATCTGACTATTGAATGGACAAAGTCATATCAAATCAGACTATTGATTGGACAAAGTCATATCAAATCAGACTAATGATTGGAGAAAGTCATATCAAATAAGACTATTGATTGGACAAAGTCATTTCAAATCTGACTATTGAATGGACAAAGTCATATCAAATCAGACTATTGATTGGATAAAGTCATATCAAATCTGACTATTGATTGGACTAAGTCATATCAAATAAGACTATTGATTGGACAAAGTCATATCAAATCAGACTATTGATTGGACAAAGTCATATCAAATCTGACTATTGATTGGACAAAGTCATATCAAATCAGATTATTGGTTGGACAAAGTCATATAAAATCTGACTATTGATTGGACAAAGTCATATCAAATAAGACTATTGATTGGACAAAGTCATATCAAATCAGACTATTGATTGGACAAAGTCATATCAAATCTGATTATTGATTGGACAAAGTCATATCAAATCTGACTATTGATTGGACAAAGTCATATCAAATCAGATTATTGATTGGACAAAGTCACATCAAATCAGACACTGATTGGACAAAGTCATATCAAATCTGATTATTGATTGGACAAAGTCATATCAAATCTGATTATTATCAGATTATTGATTGGACAAAGTCATATCAAATCAGATTATTGATTGGACAAAGTCATATCAAATCTGACTATTGATTGGACGAAGTCATATCAAATCAGACATTGATTGGACAAAATCATATCAAATCTGATTATTGATTGGACAAAATCATATCAAATCTGAATATTGATTGGACAAAGTCATAACAAATCTGACTATTGATTGGACAAAGTCATATCAAATCAGACTATTGATTGGACAAAGTCATATCAAATCAGACTATTGATTGGACAAAGTCATATAAAATCTGACTATTGATTGGACAAAGTCATATCAAATCAGATTATTGGTTGGACAAAGTCATATAAAATCTGACTATTGATTGGACAAAGTCAAATCAAATAAGACTATTGATTGGACAAAGTCATATCAAATCTGACTATTGATTGGACAAAGTCATATCAAATCTGACTATTGATTGGACAAAGTCATATCAAATAAGACTATTGATTGGACAAAGTCATATCAAATCAGACTATTGATTGGACAAAGTCATATCAAATCTGACTATTGATTGGACAAAGTCATATCAAATCAGATTATTGGTTGGACAAAGTCATATAAAATCTGACTATTGATTGGACAAAGTCATATCAAATCTGACTATTGATTGGACAAAGTCATATCAAATCAGATTATTGATTGGACAAAGTCATATCAAATCTGACTATTGATTGGACAAAGTCATATCAAATCAGACATTGATTGGACAAAGTCATATCAAATCAGACATTGATTGGACAAAGTCATATCAAATCTGATTTTTGATTGGACAAAATCATATCAAATCTGAATATTGATTGGACAAAGTCATTACAAATCTGACTATTGATTAGACAAAGTCATATCAAATCATACTATTGATTGGACAAAGTCATATCAAATCTGATTATTGATTGGACAAAGTCATATCAAATAAGACTATTGATTGGACAAAGTCATATCAAATCAGACTATTGATTGAC